ATGATGCGCCTGATCCACCAGACGGGGATCTGAAGTCAAGAGCTAGCGAGATTGACGCGATCGAGGATGAGAAAACGGAGGAGCTCGCAGAGAAGAAGAAAGGGGACTACTCCGGTCCCGATCACTACTCCGTTGGGGGGCCAGGTGATAACATAATTTACTTGAATAACGACGGCGAACACGTCAAGATCGCAAAGGATGGTCGTCTATATAGAGTGGGATCGGATGGAAGGCGACTCTTCCACAACTCACCAAGACCCAAGGACTACCTCACGCCTGAAGAATGGCAGAAGTTATCGGTGAAAGATAGAGCTATGGCCAAGAAGGCCGGAAAGCATGTAGACAGGGTCGTGGATAGATTGACGAAGAAAGCAAAAGGGCTTGGGAGCAGCACGGATAAGAAGGAGGACGAAGAGCCTGATGAACTCTTGAAGGACCTGGAAAACGTCAAGAAGGATGATGATGGAGGTAGCGAAAAGAAGTCCAAGAAAGACAAGAAGGACAAGAAAGCCAAGAAGGATAAGAAGTCCAAGAAAGAAAAGAAGTCTAAGGGCGAGGAAGAGAAGGGTGAAGGTGGACCAAGCTTGGCTATGCCTACTACCTTTATGGAGTGGGACACTGATGATGATGAGGACCCTTGGTCACCTAAATCCTTTACATCCGAGTCCACGTGTGTCCCCAGTGATGAAGAATTCCTCACCGATTGGGACGAGAGTGCCATGTGGGAGGACAACGATGACAATCTTGCTATGGCGGCTTGGAAGACGGAGAACGTCTACAATCCACTGAACGGTCAGATATGTTGTTGCATCACTGGTGATCCCATTGACAACGATGTAGTTGATGAACCATTTCCGACGATGCCATGTGTAGTGCGTGATACACAACATCGCCCAAAACTTATGGGCAATAGGTTGTTCAACGCTGTGGTATCAAGACCTGTGAGCCGTGCTGAGATCTTATCCAATAAGAAGGCAATGCAATCTATGTTGGATGAGTGGGGCGGACTCTGGGATGAGGAAACATTCGACGGGTCGTGGCTGAGAGAATATGATGAGATAGTGGCGACCTCCAAGAAGAAAGGGGAAGAAGTTCACTTAGCAAGAGTACATGGAATATGTGTAGAAAAGAACTACCAACTGCCTGACGATGACCCGAAGAGGAAGTTCAAAGGGCGAGGGGTTCTACTCGGAGATCAGGTGAAGAACCAGAACTTCGAGGCAGCATTGTTCCAAGACCTTGGAAACTCTCCAGCTACATTCGAAGCTGCTCGATGGGCCGATTTCTACGGTTGCCTGGAAGGTAATGATGTGCAGGTGGCAGACGCCATTCGAGCATATATCCAAGCATTATTGGGCGGTGTACCGTGTTGGGCTGAACTCCCGTGGGAAGCGTGGCCCAAGCACTTGCAAGAGGAGATCACCAGAAGGGGTCTCAAACGTCCTATGTGTCGTGTGAACAAAGCATTATACGGACATCCAGACTCTGGAACGATGTGGGAGCAACATTGCGACGAATCTGTACGTGCATTGGAGTTCAAACCCGTCGGACCAGAATGGCCGTCGATGTATTACCACGAAAAGCTAGACTTGCTGTTAGTGATATATGTGGACGACTTGAAGTTGGCAGGGCCCAAGGAGAACTTGAAGAAAGGTTGGGACCTACTCCGATCCAAGCTGCGCATTGAACCGGAAACCGAGGTCGGATTGTATTTAGGATGTGTTTTGTCGAAAGGCGAAGATAAATTGGCCGATGGTTCCAAAGTCACTACAATGACATATGATATGAGCGCTCTGCTCAAAATGAGCGTGGTCAAATACCTCGATATAGTAGGTAAGGACACAGTATTGAAGAAAGTTGCAACGCCCATGTTACCGGATGTCACAAAGGATCATCCATCGAGAGCACCATGCAGTACCCAAAAGGGACTTGCTGTCACATGCACATGGTGTGGTACTTGTTTCTCGCCTGACCAGGCAGCTTCCAAGGCCAGGTCAACAGACGATGACGTCAAGTCTGATGCGAAGGAGCAACCTCGTGGTACCCTAGCGCCTCATGCTGCTAGTCTCCTAATGAAACTGTTGTACGCCGCTAGAATAGCGCGTGTCGACCTGTTAAGGGCCATCAATGTGCTGGCTCGCAATGTGACAAAATGGACAGTTGCCGACGATGCTAAATTGCACCACCTGATGTGTTACGTGCATCATTCAGCCGATCAGAAAATGGTAGGTTGGGTCGGTGATTCCAAAGCAGACCTGTCGTTAGCCCTATTCGCAGATGCGGACTACGCAGGATGTGGTCAATCGTTGAAGTCGACTTCCGGTGCACACATGCATGTCCAAGGCAAGCGAACTCGTTTCCCGTTGGCAGGAGGTAGCAAACGTCAAGGGTGCGTTAGCCACTCCACCCCGGAGGCTGAGATTGTCGCGGCGGATTACGCATTGAGGACACTTGGCATCCCGAGCATCAGTGCGTGGGAGACTTTGATGAGGACGCCACCAAGAATAGTCTTTTATGACGATAATCAAGCGATGATCAATGTTATGCGGAGTGGGAGGAACCCCACGATGCGTCACATGGAGCGAACTCATGGTATTTCCATCACTTGGTTGTACGAGATGTTCAAGCGTGACTATCTGTTGCTCGTATATGAGGTCACTGCTCGTATGGCTGCCGATATCCACACTAAAGGGTTCGACGATGCCAACTCATGGAAACATGCGTGCATGTTGATCAATATACTGAGCGATGATGGTCTGCGCAGCCAAGCATTGCTCGACTTGATGAAGCCAACTCATGATGGATTGTCTTACGCCAAGCAGCTCCAAAAGGATCGTTACAGTAAGGTGCCAACATACCCTTACACCACCATTCCGGTTGTCCCGCCACACCTGTATCAGCCGGGACTTTCGAGCAAAGAGGGACTGCAAGAGATCCCTGGATGCGACCCCTACGTTATGGTTCGTACTCCCAAGCTGTACAGGCTGCGTCCACCACGGGCTCCCCCGGATATGACATACCTTCGCAGCACTTGGATCTTGCAGGACGCGCAATGGCAACAGATCGAGGATAAGGTTGACCCCACCTTAGAACCCGTTCGGTTTGACCGTTGGGTCGAACGTGCGTTCTTTCAGTTTCATCCTTTGTCTTCTCCGTTACCCGAAGCGTCCGTTCCTGCGTCTCGTCCTTTCGACGCTGCGACCCTTCCACGTCTTTTGTTTAGCTTGCGTCCGCTTATCCAATGTCGCGAGTTGCAACAGACTCTCCGCGATTCGTCCTTGTACTTGTCGATTCATCACTGCTCGACCTCTGCCTTACACGTGCTCAACGCCCTGACGCGCCTTGTGCATGGGGGGAATGGGGGGTCTGGGGGGTCTTCGATGATTTTCGACAATTTTGTTTCGGATCCTGAAGAGCAAGAGCACTCAGTTCACGATCATTGGGAGGTAGACGAAGAAGCTAAGACGCTAACAAGAATACACTCGTCTCCTAGGAGAAAGGCGTTCTGCCCGAGTGACGCGCCATCTTGTCCAGTCGACATGTCACGGATCAAAGACGACAGGACGACTTACCGTCAAGGAAGTCGGCTCGAGTCATCAGATTTTGAGGATTGCGTCAAGGACTATTGGCGACACTCAGGTAGAGGTACGCGTACCAAAACGCACCTCCGATGGATAGGCAAGACTGTGTTCACCCTTAGGGGAAACAACGCTGAATCGGAAAACGAGGAAGCTAAATCGGCTGCGATAGCGTTATGCAGCACCCCAAAGCGTATGAAAACGATCCCATTGACCTAGAGGCTCCAACAGTCTCTTTTGGACGTCGTTTCTGCATAAGACAGCTTTTGCTGTCTTTTGTGTTTTTTGATGTTTTGGATGGTGGTAGGCATACGCTCAAAGCTAGCGGATCACTACTTGCATCAGCACTCCCAATGCCATGCGCGAGAGTTTAACTGCCATTGTGTCAGTGCGCATGTCAGGCATTGGTCAGGATAGTCTGTCAATACAAGTGCACTGCCTTTTTCCAAACTAGTGCCCAGCGGTGGGGATCACTTGAAATTAATATAGTTTGGATACAATGTCATGTGCATTTTCCATGGTGTGCGTTTGGTTTTCTAGGATACCCACCGGTGAAAATACAACCGATAGACAGGGGCGCGCAGCATAGACACACGCGATTACCAACTCTCAAAAGCAAACGCCCGAGTGTCAGGTTTCGTGTTTTCACTTTTCTGGCGCTCTTCTGCGCTGCACTCTGCCCGGCGATTTCCCAGGAACCAGAGGGTCCATGGATCCATCCATCCAGAGGGTCTTTTTCAAGGCAACATAATACATCATAGTACCACCGCAATTACCACAATACATTTTTTTGTGTGAAGCTAGAAGGAACGCGGAAGCAGGCCACAATGGGTGGCCATCTTTGTGAAGCACCCTCCTTGTTCCAGGCTCAGGCTCAAAGGCCACCGTGAGACACGAAGCCGAGCAAAGGGTTGAAGGTGAATAAGGTTTTCGCATGTTCATGTCATAGGAGCCTTCCAATAAGATCTCGTATCCCCAAAGACTTCTATAATAAGAGTGTATATAGATTCTAGATCAAATCAGCAGTCCGTGAACTGATGTCCTGGAACCCATGCATAGTAAATTACTACATATACATTTTTTGTGGGTTTCTGAAAGATGGGTCTTGCGTCGCCCTGAGCACTGATCTCGCGGTGTGGCCCGCGGCGTGGCTCTCAGACCGTGCCCTCCTGCGATGCGTCGGTCGAGTGGATGGCAAGTTCAATCACCATGAACATACTGAGTTTGTGTGCTTCCGTGTTTTTTCTTTTGGGGGACCAAACGGTCAAACCTAATTTGATCCATGCACATGGACCTTTCAAGCTGTGCATGGCCATTGCGGTTTGTCAGAGGAAGGTTGCTGGTGATTATTTTCCGCCTTGACAGCCTGCCATTTTGTGAGGGTTGCGAAAGCGGCTGTCGACCTGTCACTCACTGGTTGCCATGGCAGTCGTGGAGAACCCTGAGAGCCCGATCTTAGAAAGCCAGAGCCCATTCTACTTACAGTGGCGATCAACTCGCCCAGGCCGTGTTTCATGGAAGAAGGACGACGTGGCCCCTCGACTCCTATTTTTCACGGTCTCGCTTTATCTATCCCTTTCTAAGGAGCCAAATACTGTGTAGTCATCAACAAAGTATAATTTTCCCTCCGCTATATAGACTCACCACAATCAAGGTTCAGTTGGCTACATCAATGAAGAACAATCTCCCGATGGAGGTTGTGACGGTGATCTCCGATCCAAACTACAAGGGGGGGTCCTTTGATCAACCTGAAGAACCCCATGGCTCGCCCAAGTGCCAGCGAATTGGCAAAAAACCACGTATGGCTCCTGCCCCTTGTGAAGGACAGTCCATCCAAGGCAAGTGTTTGGAAAAGAACATTTGTGTGTTGCAACATTTGTTTTTGTTTTTTGAAGGGCTCATGAGTTTTGAAGGGTCTTCAAACCCCATGCCTTGAGGTGCCGTCGGGCTACTACATCTGCCACGCGTTCCTGATGCTCGACTTCTTGCTGGGGAAGAAGCTTTTCAGGCCTGAGCCTGGAAAGGAGACGAGAGCTGGGTTGGCATCTGAGGAGGCGGTGAAAGCCAAGAGGTGCCTGGGAAGTTTGCGGTACCTGTGGAGGAACAGTACAGCAAGCCATGACCCATACGTCCTTGAGATGAAGTCACATTTGCGCCCTTCACCACTCCAGGGTCAGCGTCGGCGAGGTCGAGCTGATGAAGCGAGTGAATGCGATGAAGATTTGATGGAGGTCTCTTCCAACGGGCCTTGGAGGATGAACCTATGGACAATGGGCATGCTTCTGATTGTCCGGACAGCCCCGCCAATGAGAGCACAGCCGCACCGAGCAAGTTGGCTGTACATCTCAATGCAGTTTTTGGTTTGTTGCGTTGTTGTTTAAGTTGACATGAGGTACGTATTAGTATCTAATGTCTTCCAATCCGATGGCAGCCTAGGCGACAATCCACCTCCAAATGCTCATGAGCAGGCAGACTCGCCGGTGTCTTTGACCGCTTCGACTCGACGATTGGGCTCTTCCCCGTCACCGGAGCAGGACTTGCGTGACTCGCAGGTCAGTTCAGGTTGGCTGGGAAAATTCTACGGAGCATATGGGGGCGACAACCCGCGCTGCAGGTTGGCTGACCCTGGCATCGACGGGGATAGCGACGGCGTCAGTGCTTCGGATGATGAGCTTGAAACCAACGAGGCGCCTGCCGGTGACCCAAATTTCCAAGAGATTTTGGATGTGATCCGAGCTGTATTGCAGAGCAATGGTCTCTTTGGCGAGTGACTTGCATACTGCTCTTGAAAGTTTTGGTGATATTGAATATGTTTTAGGGTGGGCGTTGCAGTAAGTTGGATTTGATGCACAGTAAAGAATTTGGTTTACCTTCTAAAGTGTTCGACTTATAGCGTTTCAAAAACCTCCTAGGCACCCCATGATGGATGAGTATTTGAAGCATTGTCAGAACGCTCTGACCAAGTATGGTCACTGTATCGGTGACACGCTGGCCAGCCGGAAGCACTTCCACGAGTGGATTTACACCCAGAAAGCCGAGGACATTTGTTTGAACATGTGTCCACACAGTGTGCCCATGCAATCTTCGTCCCCCAGCCCCAAAATCCATAGACATCCACTTGAACATATGCCCGCATTCCCTCGATCATGACTTCAACTTCCAGAGTAAGGGCGACCATTCACCTGTGAACGCACGTCCCAGGATTCTCCTCCATCGGCTGAAGGGTCCAACCAGAAGGTCCAGGCCTGTTGCTGACGACTGTCTGCTGAGCGGTTTCGCCACTAGAGTTTTGAGAATGAACTAAACAAATCATACCTGATGCAGATTGCAACATGCCACCTTCTCTGATGTACAAACATCAAGGAAATCAAACTGATGGAAAGGTTCATGCAGGTCCAACTGTTTAGATGACATGTTTTGACCCTGCCCGTCGCGAGGCTTCCAATGGGCTCTCAAAGGCTTTGAAGATCATGGACGCGGCCGAACCTTCGGCTTGTGAGTTGGACGGGGAACCTACGGTCACCCCGGCAACCAAAAGGCCTCGCCTTGCTGACAGCGTGAAGATGAATCTAGAGATCACACCACCACCTGTCGTCGAAAGGCAATCTGTTTCTCGTCTTCTCGGAACAACGTGTGTGCCATGGATCGTCATGTTGTCTATTTAGCTACCCAAACTCACCAAAAGGTCCACCAGAATACTTTCCCAGTCGAGCCCTCGTGCATTACCCAATCGAACCAAGGTTAAAGCGATGGCCAAAATCAAGAAGGAGGAGAAGGCCGCCAAAGGCAACAAAGGGGGCCAGGTGTCTTCGGGAGAGCGGGCAACGACATTCAAGGGCTACAGCCTTGAAGGTTTACCTCGTGAAGCACTCCCTTGGAAGGATACGGATTACAAAGGGAAACACAGCTACACCGTTTGCATCGGTGAAGCAGCTCCCCAGCCCAAAAAAGAAAGACTGTTTTTTAGAGTTGTTCATAGAGTTGTTCAAATGTAAGCAACATCAAAAGATTTAATTGCCGATGGTCCATTCATTAAGGATAGCTGCTCTAAAGGATTGACAGAACATGGGATAGCTGCTCATGGCTCTAAAACATTGCTTCCGTCCACCAAGGCTTTGGAGATCTTGTGCAAAGTGCAGGCCTATGTGGTCAAGCGCGCAGTCCCTGGCTCTGAGAAGCCCGACGTCGCCCAAGTGTTGTGGAAGCGGCATGGCGGGCCTCTCAAAGCGTGGGACGAAGCAAAGTCCCGCGCAGGGCTCTGATAACTGATATGATTTTGTAGGTGCTTGCGCACGCCTAGGCTAGACCGGTCTTTGAACTTCGACTAGGCTTGTCATGGTTCTGTAAATCTAGTTATGCCAAATTGTCATGGTTCTGGAAATCTAGTTACGCCAAATGATTCCTACCGATCATAGAAGGTGAGTCCGGTAGCAAGCGTGCCTTTGGGATTGCCACTGCTTCAAAGTCTAGTGGCTTCTTAGGGGGATCCATCCACCGTAGAACCAAACATCATGCTGGGATGACCCATAGCGTGCTGGGAAAAAACTGTATGCACGTCGAAGGTGAAAGCTTCTCCCTGGTTTTAGAACACAGAAGCTCAAGTCCAACCTTCCCTCTCCAGGTACAGGGGTGCCGGGCGTACCTCCCTCTGGCAAGCGAGGACTGTTGGGGACACGGTGCGAAGGAAGGGATGAGCGAAAGCTTCAACCAAAAAAACAATCCAAGGTTGATGACTCACCAACCCATACATACCAAAGGGAACTCCAAAGGGATTATTGAAAGTGTCAACAAAGAATCCCTGCCCAAGGTTGATGATCGACTTACCAACAAATACGTATTGAAGCCATTTTTGTTGATCGATTGATCGCCCAAAGGAAGGGATTCTCGATCGCCGGTCGATTTCGTTTGCGCCGCCATGGCCCCTAATGCCAAGCAGGTCAAGAAGCAGACCAAAAAGGATTTGCCTTTTCCCAAGGCTCCGTTGTTGCGGCAGCCAAAAGACATGCGAACCCGCCAGCTGAGCAACATATTGGCGGGACTCAACTACATCCGCGCGCCCGTTGTGACTTGTCTTCTGTGATTGGGGGTAAGGCGTGCGAAGAAGTTGACACAAGTGTTGGCACAAATTAGTGAATGTGGGTTTAAGCCAACGTAAAACACGGCAGCGCCCAGGTCGTATGCACATTGGTCTCTGTCCTGTTCACAGTGCCTGGCCTGCGGTGGGACAATCCCATAGATCACTTGGAGATCTTCGCGGGGAAAATGTCGGTCACCCTGGCCGAGCTACAGGCTTCGCAAAAGAATGAAGCATCAAAAACGTCCATTGGGCTCGTCAAAAACCTACCATTGTGTTCATCAAAAGTCAAGTCTTCCCTTCGTAACTGTCCATTTCGATTGGGGCTATGTGGAAAATTGCCAAGTCTTCCCTGCTTCCTATTCCTGTCAGGCAGGGCGCCGAGCCGTGCCCATCGACCTGGAGATTGGTGGGGCCTCAATGGACCTGACGACCGACATTGGGTTCTCCAATTGTCTTTATCACGCTTGCAACCTGCGTGAGGGGGCAGCCTGCATGGCTGCCCCAGTGTGTGGGTCGTTTGTGTTTATGAAGCTTGGGAACATATCGCTTCAACCTGTTTTGGTTTTTCCTTGGTGCCTTGTCAACTTACATGTACAAGCCATGAATGGAAGGTCCAAAGAGAAGATGTTACTCTATACAGTCCTGCCTTTAGTTCCCTCACTCATTGAACGCTTGGCCAAGGAGTCGCGGCTCGACGGGGCGTTCAGTGGCCAATCCAATGGGCTTTGGGGAGTCCTGTCGAATTGGAAATCTTTTGGTTTCGCGGACGCTGGTGATCATGCTCATTTGCGCAGCTAAGTGTGTCTGGTTTTGCTTGGAACAACCTGGCACAAGCATCATGGAGCTCCACACCCTATTCCAGCGTTTCATCAAAATTGCGGCCCTTCGGAAACTCAAGATCAACATGGGCGACTACGGAGCGCCCACATTGAAACCTACGATCCTCTACTCGAGTCCCTTGTCTCTCAGGGAAATGAAAAGAGGCCCCCTCAAGTCTACCCCAAATGGTGTGGAAAGTCCTGAAAGCAAGTTAGAAAAAAAACACTCCCAAATCACCAATACACAGGGTGAATGCCGGCCTTACAAACATTTCTGCTCGCAAGGTCACAGGGCTATTGATATGCTGCCCAACTACACGATTCGCCGCCAGCTGGTGAAGAAGCACATGGTGAAGCGTTATGTGGATGGGAACGGGAAGCAAAGAGTGTGCGGCGGTGTGGATCTCAAAACGTCGCAAGCGTACCCGAAGCAGTTTCTGGGTCATGTGCAGCAGTCTCTTAGTTGTTGTTATCTTGTTGACCACTTCTTTCTTTGCAATTTAACATTCATTCCAAACATATTTACAGTGATCAGTGATTAAACATATCAATCCATACAATAAGTACAATATAGTACAATATTCAATATTTCTATGCATATATTTGAGGGACTCCAAGACCTTTGCCCTGCCCAGTTTCGGTGTTGCCTTGGCAGCTTGCAGAAGCGCCACAGCAGCAAACCGCAGACTCACGGCGAAGAGGTTCCTGGAGGTGGCACGCAGGTCCAGCAACGAAGCCGACGGTCGGCGCCACATTGACAAAGTGTGGCGTGATGCAGCCCAATTAGATAGTGTCATTAAATTCTTGACGCAAAGGCCTTGAAGGCTGTGATAGATCCCATCGTTCTTTTCCCACGTTCTTGAAAGATTGGGCGTGGGTTGAAATTCAAAGCAGCAAGTCTGAAGCAAGGCTTCGCATTGCCACATGGACTGGGGGGGGGCTGAGATGAAAATCCAGGGTTTCCGCAGGTTACGTCCCATGTCTAGCTGTAGGGTTCTCCCGACGCCCGAGCGAGCGAGAGAGAGAGAGTGATCCAGAAACCATGGAACCATGGGCCATGGGCGAAGGCTTTAAAAACATTAAGAAACAAACCCAAGAAACAATCCCGATATCATCCAACTCAAACTGTCACAGCCTGTGAGACTTGGTACACTTCAAATCGTCTTGTACAAAGACAGAATACTATCATTATTAAAGTTACATGTGAGATGTTTATCCGATATCCATCTGCAAAAAAGGAATAACTGATAACAAGTCCAGGATAGTTGATAAATCATCTTGGTGCATGGATCAACCCATCTTGCTCCCATGATTCCAGCACAAATCATCTTGGTTCACGCATCAAGCCATGCTGTTCCCAGGACCTGGTTCGGATGCCACGCCTCTTCCTAAAGCGGAGCTTGAATCCAGGTGCGCCCTGCCCGGAGAGCGTTGGGGCTGGAGTTGGAGTGGTTCATTTGTTAATAGTTCGACAAAAAACTGACGCAAACAGATTCGAAACATGACAAAGTAATGCTGCGAACAAGTGCGAAAATGATGCGAATGGGTGCGAAATGCTGCGAATTGTATGTGGACCTAAAAAACAATCAAAGAGGGTCATAGGTGTCGAGAGAAAGGTGAGGTCAGGGTCAGGTCAACGTCTATGCCAATAGTGCGAGTTGCATGTCTCCGTTTGCATGTGCATGTAGCTTTTGTGTGTGCTCAGGGCGCCTGTAAGTTCCTTTGCCCCAGTGTACCTTGATGTCAGCGCCACGTCGACGGGTGATGGGGAAGTCTCTTGGGAACATAAGCGAGTCTGGTCGTGTTGGGTTTTGGAGGCATGCGCAGAACCTAGCTCCGTGGAGAAACCATCCATGCTTTGAACAAGAAAATGTTTCGCTAGCATCATTGGTGCCTTTAACGGTACATGGGGATGGAGCCCAGTTCTTCAGAGATGACGAGCACTATGTTTATAGCATTTCATCACTTTTTGGGTGCAATGGATGCATACAGACTACACTTCTGAGCAAGTTCCCCATTGCTATAATTCCTGAGCGGTGGATGCGCTCCTCTCAAGCTCCCTGGCCTTCGTTTTGCAACCCTCATGCCCCAAAGCCCCAAGCCTGTTTACACATAACGTATGCCGGTTGGTGAACCTATTCACTCGTTCCCGTTTCAGTGAGGCTCAAAAGTCTGTGAACCAGACAGTGGCGCAGCTGGTGGCCTGGTCGCTCAAATGCTCCATCTCGGGAGTAGGGCCTGACGTCGGGATGTACGGTGAGACCTTGACTGGGTACAGGGCTGAAATGAGAGGAGTGTCTTTGGGCCCTTGGAAGTGACCCGTCCGAGTGAAGGGTATCTTTGATCATTTTCTGGTTTTGGTGATAAAACATACCCTATAGAATAGAGAGGTAAATAATGCTGTTCAATCAACCTTGCTAAGGGCTGCGTACTTTGCTTTCAAGGCGGACCTAAAGGCTCGCAAGTGGATGCATTCCTTTTCAAGGTACTACAAGTCAAAACTGCAATCTGGCTCGCATACAGTATGCCAAGGTTCTTTTTTTCACATGTGCCGCCCAACAACACCTTACTTACTCAGATCAAAATGGGTGGAGGGAGCCTTCCAATCAGCAAACCCTCTGTTCGGACACATTCGGACACTTCGTAACAGCTGAGGATTTGTGACTCTTGCCTGGTGAGTTCAGGTGCCAGTGATTCAGCTATGCGCTACAAGAACTTTAGTCAGGAAGCAGCCTGGCCACTTACGACGGTCTCTCACGAAGACTATATGGCGATGCCGGGCACAAAAACGACATGGCTTCAGGTCGAAGGGTTTCGGTTGGAGAACTGTGCATTCGACTTTATGCACAATGTCTTTTTGGGCATAGCAAGAGATTTATGTGGTTCATCCATCCAAGTTCTCATCCGCTTCGGGTGGTATGACCATGTGGTGGGTGACATGGACTGCAAGCTTGCAGCTGTTCAAAGGGAGATGGTGAGAGATTGTCGTGCGTGTGGGTGTTTGGGTTGGATTGGATAGCAACGTTTTCAAGTTTGCTTATACCACAATATGTTTTGTTGTTGCTTAAATACTGTTACGGTGCTGGAGATAGTTCCACTAAAAAACGTGCTCAAGCAATCCACCCCAAATGTTCCAAACCTCTTCAATGTTTGTAAGCCACTGGAAACTGCCTAGGTTCTTCATGCCAAAGAAACCTGTCTTGACAGAGGCAAACTTGGGTAAAGATGACTACGCCCAGCTTGGGACACGGTTCAAAGCTTCCCATGTAAAGCTGATCGTGTTCTGGATTGCGAAGAAGACCCAAAAATGCAGCGATCAAGCGCCAAATCACGTGGCCAAGATGAACCCCGCGAACTTTATGTGTTTGTTTTTCACTTGCGTTCACCAAGTGCGTGGTTTGGTCCTTCGTGGAACCTATCCCGCGCCCAGGATCGAATCACCCACGTGCTCGCAACTTGCGCCTACAGCTTGCAGCGGTGCATCGACCTATGCGACAACAGCGGACTCGTCCTAGATCCCACTGCTGCAAATGAAGCCAGTGACAGTTTGAGGCTGCACCTCAAGACCTATTCGTGGTTGGCAGCTTATTTCCATAGGGAAAGGCTTCTCCTTTTCAAGCTCCGTCCCAAACATCACTATGTGTACCACCAAGCCATGCAGTTGAAAGCATGGCGGATAAACATCAATTCGTTTTCGACATGGGACGAGGAAGGGTTCCTGGGGCAGATCAAAGCAATAGCTACTGCCTGCCACGGAGCGACTGCTACGTACCGCGTGTACCAAAGGTACTTGTTGGTTTTAGCGCTCATGGTGCAGAGGCATCGGGAGCTGAACGATATGTAGTTTTTTGGAGGGACTGCATGGGGTTGTCAACATGAGAAAACACATGGAATTGGAAACAAGATGAACTCCATGCCCTGGGGATCAAGTGGATCGAACGGGGAAAGCTTGTCACCCGACACAAGCCGACACAAGCACGCCTCCAACTCGCGGAGGAAAAAGCATCGCAACTACCCAGGAGCGTTGTGAAAAGGCACCCTCATGGAATCCAAATGGTCCATCCCAACCTTCGGGTTTAAAAATATTGTTTGGGGGCTTTGACGATTTGGCACGCCATGACGGTGCCCGCAGGACTTCTCATCTTGGTTTGCTCTGCGTGTGTGTGTTCGTGTGTCTAAGTACCGGGGGGGTGTCTAAGTTTAGTGGTCTGTTTGTGTGTGTGGAGGCGGTGTCTATAATTTAGTTAAAAAAAATAAATACATGCTGTGAGGAAGCAGCGAACGGCGCGAGCCAAACTTCAAGAAAAATTGAAAAGCCCTTGACCTTCAAACACATACACGCCAGCCCTGCTTCAAAAGATACATGGAAAACGTTGTTAAATAACAACTTCTCATGGAAACGACCACGGTGCCTATGGAGGCGCTCTTTAAAAACAGCGTTTCACGGAAACGACCACGCTGAGAAACGGGCGCTCTTTAAAAACAACGTTTCACGGAAACGGCCACGCTGAGAAACGGGCGCTGTTTGGAGAACACGTTTGGTGGAAACGACCACGCTCTGATAAGGGAACTTTATGTCAGTGACATATAGCAGCTAACAAAGTTCACCCCAAAGTCGCTGAAATCCAAAATTCTAAAGATTTATCGTTTTTTGCTTTGCGATGCAAACGACAGCGTTTGCTGCTGGTGAGAGCGTTATTATCAAAACATTGCCATCTGTTGCAAATGATGTCCTATCGGCGACGTTGGATCCTCTAGGGAAGGATATCATTGTCCCAACGTTCGTCTCCGTTGGCAAAGCCAAGAGCGAGGAGAGCAAAGAGCACAGAATAGTTGATGTCAACATGAGACGACATGATGGGGGGATTGCATATAGGTACCAGTTCGTGTTGTGCGAAGAAGATGACAACCTAGCCGCCCGCGACGAGCAGATGGTAATCGATCTGTACGATATAGGTAAAGAACCCGCATTCATCCTACTGTGTTCAGAGGAATGCAATCACTTCACCCACTTAGCGGCGAAGCACGACTGCACCATCGTCACTGTATCTCAAAGCGATGACCTCACTTCACCATACGGAATTGCACGTGCGCTTGCGGCAGTGCGTTCGGAGAAGGATGCAGTAATGTTTGCAGGACCCTGCACAGGCGGATCGGCATGGTCGAGATACAACGCCAAAGTCAGCGACGCGATAGCTAAATCTATAGAGCTTAAGCGAGCACTATACTGGGACCTTTGGGAGCGTTTTGAAACTGTTATGGTTCGTGTTTTGAAGATCGGAGCCGCCGCACTGTTTGAACTACCAAGATACTGTGCCTACTGGAAAGATCAAAGAGTTCAACGTTTGTTGAGCGGCACTGATTGCGACTGTCATGTGTTTGATGGATGTATGTACGGGTTAGGCGCTGAGTTCAACGATTCGCATTCCGACAAGAAACTCATCAAGAAACCTTGGAAGATTGTATCATGGAATCTTGAGTTTGGCAACCAGCTCAGCAGAACATGTGACAAGAGCCATAGTCATAGAGATTGCGCAGGTAAATACACTAAGACTACTCAATTATATAATAAGAAGATAGTCGGCATCGTCCTGAAGACCGTGACCAAGAGAGTCGCTGCATTCCAGAAATCTGAGAAGATGATGCATGCCGTTCCGTGCCTTATGATTCGAGCCTTGGGTAGTTCCTTCAACGAGCGATCAGTGTGTGATGCAACATCAAACGAGACTATATACACATGTTATAAGCATGGGACACAAACATCACACGCACGACGGATCGAACCACATGGCATTCATGATTGTCAGGCACGTTGTGTTTGTTTGTGTGACCACAGCACTGCTTCACCCGTACGCTTCAGCGACGTGGCTATGGAGTCTGTTGGTGGTGTCATGAACTATAACAGCAACACGAGCGGCTACCCGACTTTCATCATCAAGATCCTCGATGGCCTGGTTGAGATGAAGGAGAGAGGGCAGATCACCCTACCTCCGAGGATGTCAAGGAGTACGCATGGGCTGGATGTGGTTGAAGCATGGATTGCCGTCGGCATTCCCCCGCTCGTCCCGTTATCCATCAACTATGCAATGTCCAGGACAAAGTCCGATGACACCAAATTCTTGACCGCTTCACTGAAGAAGCTAGTGGGCTACATGAACGAGGAAGAGAAGAAAGAGAAAACTGGCGACTTGGCAAGACGCTATAAGCTATCCATGGCCACCATCAAGGGGCGCTTCGGGAACGATGCGAGTGGGGTTTTCAGCAACCTTTCTCGCTACCTTGTGGAGCCTGAGGAGATTGGGGCGATCGATGACTTATGGGACGACGTCCGCGACTTCATCAACAGCGGCAGACTCAATGACACTATGGTTGCCTACCAGCAGTGGAGGAACCTGTCCGGGTCGGCCAATGAGAGCATGAATATGCGTGAAGCCGCGGATCCGTCAGATCACGTATATGCTACCCGCCTCGAGAGTTACTACACGATCTTCAGCTCGATCTTCTATCACACTTCTGACAAACTCACCAGTCGAAACGCGAAGGAGAAGGTGAAAGAGCTGATAGACACGGTGAACAGAGAAGTCCGCAACATGGCACTGGCAATAAGGGTCCACAACTCGGACAACGCGATGGACAAGATCCACGTGATCGACGTGCTCGAGGACCTGATTGCCAGGAAGAGAGGGCTGCCAAAATACAGGTCGGCGGCTCAGAACCATATGGAGACCTTTCTAGGCTCCATGAGTGTTACCTCGACAACTGCAAGCCTCCGATAGCCCTGATAGTACCAGAAGAACTCAGATTCATGAGGGAAAAGGTCACGCCGATGATCAATGAGTGGATCCCGGTTGAACCCACAATGTTTCGAGTTCAGTACAACGCAGCGGCGGCGGAGAGCGGAAGGCAAAATGAGTACAACCGGCGGAGCAGCGCCTTCAAATCCTACACCGACTACATCGAGGAGTTGAAGAAGAAGATCGAGGACAAAGTTATCCCCTCGTTACCATTTTGGGACATGGTGGAAAGTGAAGGTCCTGAGCCCCCCGACGTTGCTCATAGGCCAAAGTGGTGCCCACCGCTTCAGATCTACGGTGACTTTGCTAGGCCGAAGGCCAAACCAATGCCTCGCGCGCCAAGACCTCCTCCACCGTCGTCGTCATTTGAACAGCAGAACTTTTCGGAGCGTCCTTCCGACAGTTCAACTGGACATGGGCCGGCGTCCTCCAAGCGGTGGGGAAGGACAGGTGGATCAGAATCCACCGGTGCGGCATCAAGGGACGTCTCAGCCACTACATGGTTTAGAATGCCGTTACCGATGGGGTCATCCAAATACTACGTATTTGGGAGGGACTATTTTTCGCGAGACATGAAGGTCTACGCGATGGTCAGCGCCAACCAGGTGCCATCCGGGCACATCGTAGAAGGTCCCTGCACCGTTAACGGACAGATGACATGGTTGCAGTACTTACGAAGGTTGACGTCAAATTTGATGTTTTGGCATGGAGAGTACCAAGAGACGGTGATCAATCGGAACTACTACAAAGAGGACGCCCATTGGTTCGCTCAATATGCCAACATCTATGACTCAACACAAGTGTCACTTGCTGGAGGGCTACCATCTCCGAGAACGCTATACAACCTTTGCTACCCAATGGAAGCCAAGGTGACTGATGAAGCGGAATTGGAGCTGAGGATGCGTGAGACCTTGAAGGGCTTCATCCCAAGTGTCACGTGTCAGCCAGCAACTCGCACCATCGATGGTGAGAGTGTGCACTGTGAGTTCATCGGCGCCATGAAGACCAGTAAGGTGATTTTGATGTCTGACTTCGAGTACATCACCAAGTCGAATTCCGGAAAGCAGACAGTGTTCGCCCAGAGCTTATTGTCACTTGGATGGGACAAGGTCATCAACATGTCTTGTACGCCTGAGTACAAGAAAGGAGAGACGACGGATCCATATGGTTTCATCAACTTCGTTCGTGATCGAATTGATGATGTCAAACGTCATGAACCCACCTCCATCCATGTGTGGTTGTCATTGAGCAATCTGGTGACTGCGGGCGAGAAGGGGACATACAAGACTGTGATTGCCCCCGTGGACTTCGTTCCGAGACTCAGGGATGTGATCGTCAAGCTTGACGCATGCTGCCAACTACCTACCTTCGTGAGGATTTGCGCAGACGTGGAGTTTCACCATGCCGTCGGTTCGTTCGGTAAGATCGCCAACATGATCAAGGACGAGCTGTCGCTGAATGGCATGATGTCCACAACGTCGGACAGGTTCTGGCGAGCCATTTCGGTCGCCGGAAGCGGTCACCCCTACTCTATGAAGTCTGGAACCTCTTTGGTCCACGCTGTCATGCAAAAGTACTTGTTCAGAGAAAAGATGCTCGCTTCTTGCTTTATGGCACCGGATCCCTTGACCGAAGCGAATAGCCTCCATGATCCCAACTTGGAACACGTGTTGCAGGACAAAGAGAGGTTGTATCAGTACTTGTTCGGAGATTCCGTAAGAGGAAGCCATGCATATCAGTCCACTGCAGGGGCTTCAGGTGAGAATGAGTCTGAGCGGAGGAAGAGGGAGAAGGTAAGGAGAGAGAACAAGATGCCATGGATGGATGAGTACTGGGGAGTCCTTCAGCCAGAACCAATATACTCGAGGACTCAAAGGTGGTACGTCATTGATGACTTTAAGGAGGGTGAGGAAATTTGCTGCGACTACTGTCTGGTCTGCAATCCCATAGACTCCGATTTGAAAGACGATTGCTATGCAGAATGCATCAACGGAGCAGCAAATAGATGCCGTGGGATGTCCGCAGAAGACTACGTCCAGAAGCGATTCCA